AGTTCGGGCATGTTTTTCTTTTCTATTATTCCTCGGCCATGTTTTTCTTTTTTTTTTCAAAGAAAAGGGCGATGGCCTTGACATTTCTTTTTTGTGTAGAACAAAAAAGGCGACGACCAATAGTATGCCATTTCCGTTTTGGTGTGATTTTTTTTTATTTTTATTTTTTGGGCTTTTTGGGTTCGGGCATGTTTTTCTTTTTTTTTTTTTAAAACAGGGCGACGGCCTTGAGATGTCAGTCGGGATCGGGAGGTCGGCAGCCTCGCGTGATCATGCTAAGATCAACATGGGGAAGTTGGACCGTGGGAAGTTGGTATGGAGTCGGGATTGGAGGAGGGATGAAGAAGGGGAGATGGTGGGTTCGAAGGAGGGATGGGGAGGAAGGTCGTGATGATGGGATGGGGATCTGAGCAATTGGAGGAGGGATGAGGAAGATGGAAGTCGGGGCGGGAGAGGTGGCCAGTGGGAGTCGGGATGCAGTTGGGATTTGCAACAGCTTCGAGATAGTCATACGACACTAGGAGTCGGGATGGAGTCCGGATTGGAGGACAGTCCGGATAGGGGAGGTGGAGAGTCGGGGTCGAGGGGGAGAGGAGGGGGGTGCTTCTTTTTTTCTTTTTTTTTGTAGAAAAAAAGGGCAATGGTCAATGGTATGCCATTTCCTTTTTCGTGTATTTTTTTTAGAGACGGCCATGGGGAAAGTGGGGAGTCGAGAGGGAATGGACTCGGGATTCGAGGGATAGGGAGGAAGGTCGGGACGAGGAGATGTGGATCTGAGGAGGGACAGGGAAGAAAAGTCGGGGTCGGGGGTCGGTATGGAGTCGGGATTAGAGGAGGGACTAAAAGGACCACGGCCTGGAGAGTTGGGGTTTCGTTATTGTGTTTTTCGGTTTCATTTTTCTTTTTTTTCTTTTTTTTCTTTTTTTTTGTAAAAAAAAGGGGCAACGGCCAATGATGTGCCATTTCCGTTTTTGTTGGGTCCTTTTTCTCCACACCTTCGCCTCTTGATCCTCCCTCACTTTTCCGACTCTGCCGCGGCCACGGCCGCGGCGGGGCCCCTTGTAATAAGTAAATATAGTAAGTACACTAAATAATTTTGAATACAATACAATCTACAATAGATAGAATCTATCTATCATAATAATAGTCTTAATCTATTTGGATTTCGTTCTATTAACTGTCTTACTAAAAATCTTTCCTTTATGTTTTTGTTCGATTCTATTATTCATGTATTTTTAGTCTGTTCATTAAGCCTCTGCCGTACTATTCAAATCCATGTACCAGGACCAAATAATCCAGTTACATGAAATGTACCGTACCCAAAGCATAATAATTTTTAATAAACCTGACAAAAAAAGGATGAATTCCAAAAATTTTAGGCAAATCTAATGCAGGTTTTCCTGTATTTATCTCTACAACGTTCTAAATCCCAATATACCCAATGCCAGGGTAACTGGCGTTCGGGATGGGCCGAACGCCCGAACCCGAACGCCCGAACATATGGGACCCCTTGGGGATGCGTTCGGCCGTTCGGGCCGAACGCCGACCCAAAAAAAAAAAAAAAAAAAAAATCATCAAAAAATCTGAAAAAAATACATGCTATGGAAAAAAATAAATTAAAGAAGATTTGCCTGAGCATTACATCCGAAATCCTTACCAAATTTGAAATAAAAATAAAATACCGAGAACAAATACTAATAATAAAAATAAATAAAAATAAAAAGAGAATTAAATTTAGT